GAGAGAGAGAGAGAGAGAGCGATGAGAGAGAAGAGAGCGAGAGAGAGAGAGATGCGAGCAGAGAGAGGAAAGAGGCAGAGAGAAGAGAGAGAGAGAGAGAGAGAGAGGAGAGAGAGATTGATGAGAGAGAGATAGAGAGAGAGAGAGAGAGAGAGAGAGAGAGAGAGAGAGAGAAGAGAGAGAGAGAGAGAGAGAGAGAGAGAGAGAGAGAAGAGAGAGGAAAGAAAGAAGCAGGAGAGAAGGAAGAGGAAGAGGCAGAGAGAGGAAGAGGCAGAGAGAGAGAGAGAGGAAGAGGCAGAGAGAGAGAGAGAGAGAAGAGAGAGAAGAAGAGGAGAGAGAGAGAGAGAGAGAGGAGAGAGAGGAGAGAGAGAGAGAAGAGAGAGAGAGAGAGGGAGAGAGAGAGGCGAGAGCGCGCGCGAAGGCGCGCCGAGAGAGAGAGAGAGAGAGAGAGAGAGAGAGAGAGAGAGAGAGAGAGAGAGAGAGAGAGAGAGAGAGAGAGAGAGAGACAGACAGACAGACACACAGAAAACCGCGATGGCGGTCCTCTAAATCGGGGTGCGTTCTTCCCGCGCCGCGCCGTGTCGCCCTCTCAAAAGAGCGACCGATTCGACACGAGGGATTAGCCAGCAGCAGAGCGGGCTACTTGTGCTACTTGGAGGCTACCTTGCATTGCCTCCTCCCAAGCCGCGAGAGCGCCCTGCCCCCCGAAAGGCGCTCCCGCCGCCCTCGCTGCTGCTCTCCCCTCGCCCGCGCCCGCCCTTGGCGCCGCCGCTGCTGCTGTAACTGTACTTTGTCTATCTATCCATATATATAAGGTGTGTGTGTGTGTGTGTACGTACAGACACAGACAGACAGACACACACACACACACCACACACGCACACACACACACACACACATACACACACACACACACACACACACACACCACACACACACACACATATATATATATATATATATATATATATATATATATATATATACATATATATATATGTATAAATATATATATATATATCATATCTACATTCAATACATTATACGCGCGCACATACACACACCACACACACACACACACACACCACACATCACACACACACACACACACACCACACACACACACACACATACACACACATATATATACATGCACACACACATACATACACATACACACACATACATACACATACACACACACATACATACACATACACACACACACACACACACACACACACACACACACACACACACACACACACTCACACACATACACATGCACACACACACATACATACACATACACACCCACATACATACACATACACACACATACATACACATACACACACAAACACACACACACACATACAGGCGGTCCATCTGGTTTTGTGATAGAAATCATGAAACCCTTTTTAGGTGTCAGGCTGGATAGCAAACGTTTGCCGGAAGGACTATTAGTGAGTTGGAAAATGACGGCCAGTGCTGGGTGACTGCCCAGGAAATGATCGACGACCTGCAGTCTGGTGCTGTCCAAGTTCGCGGAGAAATGTCGGGCAAAGGAAAAAGTAGTATGAAGGTAGAGATAAATTAGCAATGATGGAAAAAGAGAGCAAATGTATTGTGATCGATGTGAAATCACGGGCTTCATCCATCCCCATGCTAGAGGCCGTGTTCGGGGAGTCGACGTTTAGCCGCCCGTCCGAGAGTCCCTGGCTGACGACCTGGACTTAACTGCTCAGAAGGAGTCAGAATTAGTAGTTAGACCTCGATGTAGAAACCTCATGGCGAATCTGGATACGGTAATGTCAGTGGAAAAGGCCGAGGTATTTCAGCAGAAAGTGATAATGGTCGATTCACTGGAGCACATTAAAGCACTGCACTCATAAATGGAAGTGGCATCAGCGGCAGACTCAGGTGAACTGGTGGTTCGCCGAGACCCTAGGCCTAAGCAGGAAGAAATGGAGGGAGGGTCTGCTGCGGTCCCCAGACGGCTTTGCTTCCCAGAGGACATGGCAGCCGCAGTCGGGGACGGCAAGAAATCCACGATGCTGCAATCAACAGAGAAACGATGATGCTTCGAGACATACTCCCGTCACTGAATTTAAGGAGGTTGTCTCTCTCTTAGTCAATGGGACAATAACGGAGTCGTGTAAGAAAAATTCTTCGATGAATGAACGTTGGTCTCGACGGGAAAGGCTCTTGGGAAATGTCGGAGGGACCCGCGATTGTCTGTGTTGACGTTATTGGCATCAGAAGGCCGCGGTGGTATGGAAGTCACCCTGTCGCCTTCATGGCCGCCCTGCCCGAAGTCAGCTCTCTCTGTAATCCACTTGCGCCCATTCTACACCCTCGCCTGCG